ACTGAAAAAAAAAAAAAAGAATATTGTCCTAACTAAACCTTTGAAACACCCAAAAACATCCCCTGACACAGCTAACAGATTAAAAGACTTCCCTTTTCAACCATAGGATCTAATCTCGCCAATAAAATCCCCCTTCAATGCCCCGCCAGGGACTACCCGATTTGGGAATTTCCCAAATTCCTTTTTATCTTGCACAACTGAGCCCTTGGAGTCACGGATTATAAGTACTTAAACAACTCAGGGAATCTGTCTAATGTCCCACCATTCTGTACAAGCGAGCGGCCCATATCCTTTCGCATGTATTTCATTATTTTAACAAGTCACTAGAAAAATAGCACCTTTCCCCCAAATACTCAGATGGAAGGGTTAACCAATACATAAAGGGGGTGACCCTACAGACTTAACAACTATTAGGCCAAAATTTAAACTTACCTTGCTATCCAAAATCTTTGAGAAACTCGTGCACAGGAGACATATTCATTTATAACAGCACAAACATACTCAACCCCGCCAATTTGGTTTAGAAAAATAAAAGCACTAATGATGCATCATAAAACGCTAGATATGCTTTACACAGCATTGGAAAATAAGGAATATCCACTAAGAATTTTTATTGACCTAAGAAAAACTTTTGACACAGTTAGACCACGACATCCAAATCACAAACTTGACCATTACGGGATAAGAGGCCATGGCTTGCTTATTTCAAATCTTACCTTAATAATAGGTTTCAGTATGTTACCATTAAAGACACAGCATCAACAACACGGCCACTTGATACTGGAGTTCCGCAGGGAAGTGTCCTTGGTCCCTGCTCTTCTCATATATATCAATGATCTTCCAACGTATCCCAACACCTGAAACCATTCTCTTTGCTGACGACACGACTTATGTCATCTCTCACCCTAATCTTGCCACCTCAACACCATTGTTAACGAGGAGCTGATCAAAATATCGACTTGGATGACAGCCAATAAACTTATGCTTAACACTGACAAAACCCACTATATTATGTTTGGTTTGCAGAGCAGGGATGCACAAATTAACATTAAGATCGACAAACACTCTAAAATTTCCAGACATAATGGGGCAAATTCCTAGGCCTATACCTTGACAACAACCTGAATTTCAGCACCCATATCCAACCACATAACCAAAAGTATCCAAACAGTTGGGATCCTCTCCAAGATCGATACTACGTGCTGCGAAAAAGCCCTTCTCACACTATACCACTCACTTATTTATCCTTTCCTCACCCATGCTATTTGTGCTTGGGATCAACTGCAGCAACACACCTGAAGCCAGTAATAACCAAACAAAAAGCTGCAGTAAGAATAATCACTAAATCCCATCCCTGGCAACACACCCCTCCACTCTTCATAGATCTAAAATTACTCCTGTTCAGTACATCCACCACTTACTACTGTGCAGTCTACATCTACAGGGACCTTAAACTCCAATTTTCAACCTTGACCTAAAACGCTTTCTTGATAGTTGTGACAGAACCCACAGGCATAACACAGACACAAACATCTCTACGACATTCCCCATGTCTGACTAAACCTTTACAAAAATTCAATGTATGTCAAAGGCCCTAAAATCTGGAAACCCTACCTGAGAATCTAGAACTGCAGACACATTCATCACCTTCAAAACCCACCCTTAGAAAACATCTTTCACCCTGATTAAACCCCATCAACTAACTACACGAATACCACCTGGTGGTTCACACTTACACTCACTCACCCATTTGACCATAAACAGAAATATTAATCTCAATCTTAAAATAATGAATCCTATGATACTCCAATACTGAAACTATGTACTGTGCCAAAACAAAAGCATTCACATTGCTAAACTCACAAACTAGTATTTAATCACTTAGCCATAATACCAACTTACCTCATAATTTGTAATATTTTAAAATAAAGAATTAAACTAAGTTTGCCCGAAATGCCTAGCCATGCTAGGCGTTCTAGTGGTACACTCTGTAATCATTATTTAACTACATGTAAACCACACAACAACCAAATTCTGTAAATTCAACATTGTAATCTTTATAGAGAATAAACTTTGAATTTGAATGTGAATTTATTGTTTGAGAATGTGACACTAGTATGAAATCTACGGCTTATTTATCAATCACAATTCAACTAATATGACATAATAAACAATATTAATAACATAGAAACATGGAATATACTCTAGAATGAGTAAAATATGCCATTACGTATGTCACAAGAGGTGTTGTGTTGTGTTGTTGTTGGGTATATAAGGGCCACTGAGAGTAAGCCGTCCATAATGGTGGTGAAGCAGCAGCTGAGGCAGCGGTGTTTTCTGTAGCCCTATATAACTCCAACAACATTGGAGGAGTTGGTAGAATCGCTGAATTACTAAAGAAGGAACCCTCTACCACCATCACTACGACCTTCTACCACTATTACAACTGTTAGCACCATCACTACTGCCTTCTACCACCATCACTACCACCATCCACTATCACAACTGCTTCCACTCTACCACCACCACTTTTGTATTTTTCTACAAACTTTTTCATAAATTATGTGTGTTTCTCACATTCTTTACCAAAGGGCTGGAACTAGAAGCTTTCTTTGGAGCCAAGGTAGCTTATTTAGCACTTGCAAGCACTAAAACCAATGGAATATTATGAAATATTTCGTAGGAGCAAGTGAGGGGACCGTCACTCACTGGTAAACAATGGCACACTGGCTGGGAAGACAGGTCCAGGCGGCTCAGAGTGTGAGTATGTGTCCCAGACGCAGGACGATTAGCGAGTTAACAGACCATTTGCAAGCCAATGTTTAGACGAAATAACGGGACTATTTCCGAAATGGACGACTTTCAGGCCAGACGATTATTGAGGGACCACTGTATATATACGTCAAACACGGTTCCTCGTAAGACGTATATATACGGCCGCAACAGTCAAAGGGTTAAAATACTCCAGGTGCTATTGACTACCTCAGGTGCTACTGATTTTGATTTTAATACTGTGAAGGCTTACTCAGCCCTGTAACAACTCCAGTAAGTATTACCAAGGCTGGCTCCTCCTCAGGAAAATTAATAAATAGAAAAGAGAATAAAAACTGACAAACATAAACACTTCATTATTTAGAAATGAAAATATTAAATACTTAAATATGAAATATTTATCCTACTTTAAAGAAAAATGAAAAATGAAATGAAAAAATGACATTTGAATTCAACGCTAATATGTACAAGTAAACTGGGGAGTGTCTGGTTGATGTTGACACCGTCTTGTAGGAATTATAGCCGTTAATGATGCTGGGGGGGGTCACAGGTGTTGAATGACAACCCAACGACTAGTTCTTCACAGAGTCTATAGCTTTGAATAGTCTGTCCGGATGACAGGAACGCAGGTTCTTCATCACTGCAAAGATGAGGGGTAGTGTCCTGTAGTTTACTACACGTAATCAGGTAGGTAGATTACAAAGTGACGTCTCCTGACTGGCGCTGAGTAAGACATGGAAATCAAGGCAGTAAGGACTAAGTTTATTATTGGTCAAAAATGAAGCTTTCAACCAATATATCCACTAGAATAGGAGCAGAGGCTTTTACT